TCGAATGCAATTCATGCATCGATGCATAAGTAGTGATCGATGCATCCCATTAATAATGAAACATCGAATGCAATTGGTGCATCGATGCATAAGGTGCATCGATGCATCCAGCAATAATACTACATCAAATACCTTTTATGCACCGATGCATCAGTAGTGCATCGATGCATACCTTCATTAAAGATGAAATTGACTTTTCTCTTAGTCTAAAGAGTGAACCATTAGAGTATATTAGTTATAATACTGATATAGATCCATGTGTGATTATGTAGATACTAAAGTAAGCTTATTCCGGAACGATCAAAGGATTATAATCGAATCAAAGCAAAGCTAAGGTAAGTGCATACTATATGTTAGTATAATGGAATAAGACTTGTGATAAGTCTAATCCTTATGTTGATTTTTATAATACAATGATTGTGAACATATACATGATAATTATGGTGATATGATATGTGATATGAGAACATGATATGAATTAAGTGATATGAGCTACATGATCTACGTGAATGTATGCACTTGTGATACATGTGATATGATATGAAATATATAATTACACATACATGTGGTATGTGACAGAAGAGAAAGAACAAGTGATATAAAAGGTATAAGAATAATGCCCATAGTATACGATATGAGAACTATAGGTGTAGTTGGCATGCCAAGAGTCGAGGGTTTACATATGTTTAAAGGCACATATGAACAGTTTACATATGTTTAAAGGCACATATGAACAGTTTACATATGTTTAAAGGCACATATGAACAGTTTACATATGTTTAAAGGCACATATGAACAGTTTACATATGTTTAAAGGTACATATAAACAGTTTACATATGTTTAAAGGCACATATGAACAGTTTATATATGTTTAAAGGCACATATGAACAGTTTATATTGTGACCTCTGGATTGTGGTCCTTCGGGACGAATACTGAACTAAGGTTCGGTGCCCCATGAGGGAATTGATACGAGCTGTGGTGACAGCATTAGTGCACAACCTCAATGCACTCACATACCTCTATTCTCAATAATATACATGGGCAATGCAATTGAAATACAGAATTAAAGTGAAAGTGATATAAGAAGGTAAGTTTCGTATGTGCATTATATGATTATATATGTTATCGTGTGATAGATACATGCATCTTGAAATGTCATGATCCAATTGTAAGTATGAACATTCATAAGTTTATTGTTGCATATTCATTTATTGCCTCACTAAGTCTATGACTTAGCATGTGATTGTTTCACACGTAGGTTTCGAGAAGAGTAAAGAGTAATGCGAAGCAAGACATGTCAGTTCTCCTTACCAAATGTCAGATCAGAAAATATATGTATTGTATATAGAGTGTAGTTGGCATGTAGTCTAAAGATATAAATTGTATGAACTCTGATATATTTTGTAAACGTTTTGAATAAGTTAAATGTTATAAAAGTTTTAAATTACTCACTATTTATACGAATAAATGTTTGAAAAGTCAATGTGACACTTCGGACTCGTATCCGGGTCGGATACGGGTTGGGGGTGTTACATAATGACTCATTATTTCCATCTTAGTTTTCATCATTTATTCTTCAGTAGCTTCATGTCTTATCACAGATACTAGACCTTTAACAATTTGAGTAATGACCTTAGACACAGGTCTCTCAGATTGTTTGGCGTCTTCAATGATGATTCTCGAAAAATAAAACATCTCAAATTCTAACAATGCTCTTGTTTATTGAATCTCATATTCTGTAACCAAATTCATCTTGAGGTTTGCCAAGTAGATGCACTGCTTTATCTTTGCATCAAGTTTGGAACGTTCGTCCTTAGGAATGTAGACTAAGGAACGATAACCAAACACCTTAAACTTTCATATGAAACCTTCTTTTTTATCCATACCTGTTATGGTATTTCTCCATCCAAAGCACTAGAAAGAGAATGATTGATAGCCATGGTGGCAATTTTCACTGATTTTCCTCAAAATGATTTTGTCAATTTAGCATTTGAAAGCATATTCTGAACTATTTCTTCAATTGTTCGGTGCATTCTCTCAGCAACACCATTTAATTAAGGTATTTAGGTGGAGTCTTTTCAACTTTGATGCCATGAGATTTACAATATTCTTCAAAATGGCCTCGATACTCTCATTCATTATCCGCTCTCATACATTTCAACTTTCTTCCAGTCTTACGTTACACCTTGGCATGAAACTCATTGAATGCATCAAGCACTTGTTCTTTTGTTTTCAACAAGTATACCCAAACTTTTCTTGAATTGTCATCAATAAAAGTGACAAAATACAAAGCACTGCTCATTAACTTTTCATTCATTTAACAAATATCTTATACACCAAATCAATAACATATTTTCTTCTATATGGTTGATTGCTTCAATAAAATGAAACTCTGTTCTACTTGTCAGCTAAGCAATGAATGAATGTTTGAATTGATTTAACTTTCACCTTAGGTAGAAGCTTTTTTGGGCAAGGATTTACAATAATTTCTCATTGATGTGCCCAAACTTTTTATGTCATAACTCCAAGCACGAGTTACCATAAGCTACATTGGTTTTCTTCCTTGCATAACTTTCTTTGTGTAACATACAATGAACCTTGCTTTTTTCCTGTAGTAACGATCATGTTGAAATAAGATTGAGATACATATCTGGTACATGTCTAACATCATTCAATACAATTTCATAATTTGTATTGATTTTTAAAATGACATTGCCAATACCCACGATCTTACTTGTTTCTTGATTTTCTATCTTCATGGTACCAAAATCACCAATTTGGTATGCTGAAAAAAATTAACCACGTGGGGTTACATAAAATGATGCCCCGAGTCAACAATTTATGAACAATCATCTTGAGCAATGTTGAGATAGTTATATCCTCCAAATAGAAAATCTTATCTTCTTCATTTGCAACAATAGCAGTTGTGTTATTTTTTTCCTTTTATTTAGATCAATTTGATCAGACTTGACTGTTTCATTCTTCTGATATATTTTGAGATTTTGTCACTCCCTTTTTGTGATTAGGTTTGCCACAATAGTAACAAATTATTTTGGATCACGATTTAGATTGCTCTCACGACTTGTCATAACCTCGAGTATTATTTCTACCTCAGTTCTCATTCCTTCCTCTATTATCAATCCTTCCCATATTCTCCACCACATTGGCTTCTGTTTGGCTACACAAGCCTTGTTCGTTCCTCCTATCTTCTTATTCGTCAACTATCTAAATAATGTTTGTGGTCAGCTTTCTTTCTAGAGGCAAGTTACTCAAAGTAACAATGAGAGTTTCCCAACTCTCTAGTAAAGAGCTTAGTAATAATAAAGATTGTAACTCATCATCAATCTTCATTTTATATCTTGGATAGTTGATTCACAAGCCCCTTGAAAGTGTTTAGATGTTCAATCATGCTTTGGTCATCTTTGTACTAAAAGTTAACCAAGCGTCTCATAAGATGTGCTTTGTTTCGAGGTATCTCTTTCTGGATCATGAACTACCGTTTACTCCATAATTCGTAAGCATTGATGTATTGACACATGTTCAAATAAACTTCTATCAATATACTTACGAATCATAGCGACTGTCTTTCTGTTTAAGAGTTCTCATCCTTACTTATTCTTCCCTTCGGGCATTGTTTAAACTGTAATTGGCTCGTATAGTTCTTTGAAATAAAGATGATCTTCCATCATTGGCTTCTAATATGAGAAATTGTATGCCGTGAGTTTGAACATATCACCATCATGGGTAGTACTCCTCTCCATATCAATAACATAAGATATATGATGACTCTTACAACCTGACTATGATACCACTGTTGGGAAAATACGGTTATGTATGAGAATACCACTTTCCTTATTTTTTTGATTAAGAAAGACACAAATATAAAAACAACAAAAATACACAATATCTTGGTGGGTGGAAAACCCAAATCGGGAAAAACTGCAGAACGCTAATCCAGTGCAAACTTGCCTTTCACTATTATATGAGTATGGATACAAAATGTCTCACCCAATAAGGATGGTTTAAAAATACTCACTCAAAGGTGTCTCTCTCTCTTTCTTGGAGGAATTCTCTTGTGAATGTGTTTTTTTTACAACTCACTCTCTATTGTTTTTCACTTGTTATATGTTAGCCTTCCCAAAACCTCTTATTTATAGTAGAGTAATAGGGTAACAAAAAGACTCATTTGTTGCTTCTAGATCAATCCACCATAAATGAATGAATGCTACATTTCATGAATGTGGATGATTCCACTCCCTAAGACAATTGATACATCTCCCTTTATTAATGATGGTACAGCTCCCTTGAACAATTAAGGAAGGATCAACCCAACAAAATAATACAACATAATTTAATCACTCAACCAATTAATGAATCTCAATAAATGTTGAAATTAAACTATATAATTACGGTGTAAGATAAGCAATGATCAATTTGCATCTCATGATTATAAAATAAAATAATTTATCAATAGAAAATGATTTGTTGTTTAACAATACTCTCTCTTGTTTAAAATTAATTAACAGGTAAAATTAATGAAATATTTAAAAAAAAAAGAGAAATGAGATTCTGGATACTTTTTATAGATAATAGAATATTTTTAAAGATAATTGTTAAAATTACTTTAAAAATAATATTTGGAATAAAATTATCTTATGATGAAATAAATTTAAAAATTCGTTAATATTTGATAATGATTTTAATAGTTAGAATAAAAGTATCTCATTATCTCAAATAGATTCTTCATAATACTTTTTTTTTATTTCATTAATGTAACCTAATTAAAACCTTACAAAAACCACTTGGAAGGAATGAGTCGTGGCAGATTTAGAGAGGCATAAGGGGGATACAAAAACCCGCAAGGCGGGACCCAAGTGTATGATAAAACCCCGGGATTCGCATTGCAAATTTGCCAACAACAACCTAAGCTATCAGTCTCAGGGCTGACCGACTGAGGAGCCACCGATCTGATTTCATTCTCTCGCACTCGCACTCGCACTCGCACTCGCACGCGTACTCGCTAGGCTAGCGAGTCGCACTTACGAAAGGAACCTAAGTCCGGTGTTGCACAAACAAGTTCATCTCCCCGTCAAATGTTTATATCCCATTCCCCTCTGCTACCCCATAGATTCCCCCCAAATTCTCATTGCCCATCCCTTCTTCTAATTCTTCAAATTCCCCTCCCCAACTTCTCTACCCAACCTCTCTCGCTCTCTTCGTATATTTTCAAGGGTTTTCGTTGGCTCGTCCATGGCATTTTCTTAATTATGGTGGCCTGTTCCAGAGGATTCACGACTCAGCTCGAGTTAAAGCTCTCCTCCGCTCTCTTTATCTCTTATGGATTGGCACCGAGTAAAAAGAAGAGAATGTGCTTTCCTCGTGATCCGCTCACTTTGTTGAGTCGAATCAGTTGCTGCTGCTCCGACCCCGTGGTTCCTGTCCGTAGAGCCACCCGTTCCGGAAAGAGAAATGAGAAGGTTGAGGACTGGCGATTCGACTCCAAGAAGTGTCCTCTCTGGGTCAGAGTCCAGGTCCCGTCTGCAACCGTTCGCTTCAGCTCAGTACGTCACGCTCTTCTCATACTATCTTGTATCGCATCTAGCTTGGAATGTGTTCGCATATCATGTGTTCTATCAATTCGCATGTATGTCTATACTCATGTCCATTATAGTGAGTGAATAATGGTATTCTTAACTTTATTTATCGAGGAGCAACAGGATGAGCGACTTCCTGGTTTAGATAAGGTGTTTCATTTTGAGAATACTATTATGAAATTAATTCTGTTTGCTCGTTTACTGTGACATCCTCAAAAGCCGGTTGCCATTATTTATTTGTTAAATGTAGGAATTGTAATGCTGTGATCACTTCGAATTTACCAAAGCTAATGTTGATTTTATGGTATGATGTTTACAGATCTCGAGTTGCTTCCAAACAAGAAAAGTTCTACTCTCGGTGTACCCCAAGAAATTCTGGTCCTCAGTCTCGTGATACTCCTCCAAAAAGAGGTAAAAAACGATGCTGTTTAAACTGCAGAAAGTTCTATTATGAAACTCTCGCTGTGCTTGTTTATGTCTTTATAATTTCAAATGTCATTTAGACAAGATAACCGTGCCTAATAAAGGATAGGGTGGTTTGTTTGTTTCTTCATTGTAGACACTGGTATTGCCAACGAGAAGGACTGGGGCATTAGTTTGTTAAATGAGAGTGTTAATGAGTCTGGCACTAATGATGATGGCAGTACCTGGTATCAGGAAAGTGGGGAAGACCTTGATGAAAATGGATACCGATGTAGGTGGACAAGGATGGGTAGTAAATCCCACGATGGTTCCTCTGAATGGAAGGAAACGGTATAAAATTATTCTTATTTTATGTAACATTTTTATGTACGAGTTTGTTTATCTTAAAGTGGCAATTGAGAAGCATTTTCTATGGTCTTTCAGATATGGAATGAACATGGTCTTATGACTGTAGATTAAAGCAATTAGGTGCTGCATTTTCCACTATAGTAGCTGTAGAAAATAAGGCAATATCATGAGTGACATCCATATTTAACATTCAAATCTTGTTGGAAAAATTTCCTTAAAATCAATCATGTTAAGAGAATTCATCCTAGGAAGAAATTTCTTTCTGCATTTTCTGTAACTTGGAAGAGATTTATAAGAGGCCATCATTTGCTATGATTTCTAATGTACCCAAAGTTCTGCATGTGATTGGCGGAACTTGCTAATTTGCAAGCCTTGTTTGCTGATTATTGTCATGCATATCTGTATTCAAAATTATCGGTATATTCAGTGACATTATGTGAAGCATATATTTGTTATCATTATAATTTAAAGGAAACACTCAAATTCAATTAGCATATTCTTTTGTGCTTTGCAGCAATGATTGATCAGCCAACTTGTCTTTTGTTTAATTTGGATGTGGGTGCCAACATATTGGGACACTGAATCCTCTTCCTTTTGAGGCTGTGTTAACTCAAGAACATTCAGTGATCTTAAGCTTGAGATCTAGGCACCCAAATGGTGTTAAATGACTTTTAATGTTAGTTAAATTGAGGAAGAAAAGAACTTTAAAGATTGAATTTATAACCATATTATCATCCCAGGTGGTTAATTGGATTTATATGTCCTTGACAGTGGTGGGAGAAAAGCAACTGGAGTGGATACAAAGAGCTAGGTACTTAGTTATCTTTTCATTGATTTATTCTATGAAATGAATTGTGGTAATTTCACATGGTTTCTTGCTTCAATGATCTAAATTCATCTGAGCATGGATATGTCTAACTTTTATTACTATATCTCGTAGGTGTTGAGAAATCAGGAAGAAATGCTGAAGGAGATTCATGGTGGGAAACTTGGAAAGAGGTGCTTCATCAAGATGAATGGAGGTCTTTATTTTCACATCATTCACTTCAGCAGGAAACACTTCAACGTTAAATCAATAAATTATCATATAGTGACAAATGGGATATTTTCAGTTTATCATGCTTGCAATTGTCACCAGTACAATAATTACTAGATCTTTGAAACTGCAGTAATTTAGCAAGGATAGAGAGTGCTCAGAAGCAAGCTAAATCAGGCAGTGAAAATGCTGGTTGGTATGAGAAATGGTATGGAATTAATGGTAGTAAATTTCATTCATATTAGTACTCCTATTATTATTACTTCATACTGTGACTTATTTTGGTAGGTGGGAGAAGTATGATGCTAAAGGCTGGACAGAAAAAGGGCACATAAGTATGGTAGACTTTTTTTTTATTGACATGTTAGATTCTGGAAATTTAGATGGCAGTTTTTATTGTCTCCATGAATACTTAAACTGATTGATATTATAAATGTCACTCTCTTTACTCGTATTGTTAAGGCCATTCCAACCTCAACTGCCTATGGTTTTTACATTAAAATCTGTTCTATACTTTAACGATATTTAGATTATAAATTTCCTTCTCTTTATATTCTCATATTGGTCAGGCCATCCCACTTCAAGCACTTTCCTAGTTTATTATATTAAAATCTCTGTTCCTATAACATTCAGGACAGATAAATGGGCGGAGACTGAGGGGAACTAAATGGGGAGATAAGTGGGAAGAGAAGTTCTTTGCTGGATTGGCTCACGTCAAGGGGAGACATGGCATGTATCTCCTGGTGGTGAACGTAAGTTTAGTCATTTCACCCTATCTGCATGTGAATTGTGATGCATAATTTCACGAGGTTGTTTGGTTCAGGTTAGGTTGTACATAATATTAGCCATTTTGTTTATCCTTATGGGAAAAAAACTATCCTTTATTTCTCTAAAGTTTGCACTTAGCATGAGCACCATATTCGGTAGGCAAACCTGTGGAAGATTTCAAATCAATTTACGCTGAAATGAATAGTTTTATTGTACTAAAGCTGTAACAAGGAGCTGTTGGGAATATAAATTATTTTTCCAATGAAACCTACGTTCATTCACTAGGAATGAAATTTATGTACAGGTTTCAAGTAGGCTTCTGTCTTAGTGGGAAGTAAACGCTTAGTTGAATATTGTTCCCTTTCATGGCATTGACAATGGCCGGTAGAATTCTTCAACACTGGTTGTAAATGTTGAGTAGTTGTATGATACTTGTTTCCTTTTTGGTTTTTGGTGAGTAGGCATATAGAAGCGACTAAGGGATGTTTTGCCTAAAATTCCTCTATAAAGTGAAACGATGTGATATTTTATATTTGTATTTGTTGCTCATCCAGTTTTATTTGCTTTTTATACTTTTTTTTTCCCTTGGTTACTAAGATACGATTGGTCTTACAGGCTGGTCGAGAAAATGGGTGAGGAGCATACGGGTATGAAACATTGGTTCAAACCCCTAAACTTTTTCATGTAATAAGCTAGAATTGCAATGCTTTAACTGCTCATGTCTCATTTTAAATTATTTTGTGATTAAACATTTAAAATTTGGAGCCAGGCTTTTATTTGATCTTGCATTTCACTCGGATGCATTATCAGCCACAGTAGGGGCTAATGTGCTTTGTATCATAAACAGAAAAGTTCACAAATACGGGAAGAGCACAACCGGTGAAAGCTGGGATATTGTTGTTGATGAGGAGACATACTACGAGTAAGAGCATGCAGCTTTTGGCTTTAGTTCAACAGTTGTAAATGCTTTTCTTTTTGTGTATAAATATGGGAAAGAAGAGTAGCGTGTAATATTATTTGTAAAGACAGTAGCAGTTTGGAGCAGGAATCTGACACGTGTTTGCATTTTGTTTTAGGAGAACCTCACTATGGATGGAGTGTGGTGGGCGACTCGAGCCAGTTGCTATCGATACAACCTCGGGAGAGGCCGCCTGTGTGTACCCACCCCTTATTTCGGGTCAAGGTGATGATGACCAATTAGACAAGCCTCCCTCTTCAAAATCATGAGAGTAGGCTCGTTTGTTTTTCTCCTTTTCCTTTGTTGACCCTAATTTATTTTGCTTTAGGTGCTCCATTTCATTTAATCATATTGGTTTAAACTCCAAACGTGCGTCAGAGACATTTGGATTATTTCAGTTTTAATTTATTCATGTTCCAATCCATTGGCGCTTTAAGGTAAATCTAGAAAATGCTACCTGTGTAGGGATTGACCAATAAACTGAACTAAAAGAAAACTAACGTGATTCATTAAAATCATAATTATTCACCAACCACAACAATGAGTGTCCAGTGGGATGAGGCAATAGGTTTTCTAGCAAGATTCGGAGTTTGACCTCTGTTTGTAAATGGAGCAAACTGGATTGAAAGAGATGTCTTCGTCTTCGTAATACTAATTTGGATTAGTTGATAAATAATAAATAAGAGAGATTAAAAAAATCATAATTATTCAATTGGAACATTTTTTTTTGGGGTACATTCTTGGGTGAAGGTATCTTGCAAGTAAATGTTGGACAGAGAAGAGGCGGGAACGCCGTGGGATTAATGGTGGCGATGATTGTGGACTGACTATTCAACATTAAAAATAAGGGTAAAGTATACGGGTGATTATTTAATTATTACTCTTTTTTTTTATTTGATCACCGTTGTTTCGATTGTATCAATCAAATCACCCAATAATTTAAATACTTCAATCAATTACTAGCAGTTAACTTTTAACTATTAATTTGGTCATAATTTTAAATTAATTTAATAAATTTAATCTCTCAATGAGATATTGACATGTGTCACCACATGATTGTAAGTTATTTAATTTTATTATTTAATTGTTTTATTTTTTATCCACTCAATTGTGACACGTGTATAATCAATTAATTAAAATAAAGTAAAGAAGAGCATACGCTAAAGAAACATGCAATTAGAATATTACTCATGCGTGAAACCACTGAGCTAACCTACCTACGTTGTACATATTAAATCATTGTTATATAACATATTCTAACTCAAGGAAAGCAAGTTGATTAGAATCTTTTAATATAATTAACAATTTATTTTTATTAAATATAAATGTTCGAATCAATTTTTAATTAACTAAAAAAATTCATTTAAATTCTTTTAGTATCACTATTTAATACAAATTTAATATTTTAATAAAAATATTAAAAGTAAATTAAACCCATAATTACTTAACTATTTTAATATCTTTAAAAACCATTTCAATAAAAATAAATAAATATTTTAAACTTAATTATTGAGTCTGAATATTTTATTTTTAATAAAAGTTTAAAATTATTAATTAAATTAAAAATATTTGATTTAATAGTATATATTAAATTATAAAAGTAAAAAAATCTAATTTAAAATTTTAATCTCATCTTACTATAAAAAGATTCAGTTTAAAATTATATATATATATAATAATCAATTAGATATTTACTTTGGCTTGATGGATAATATACTCACACGCTACCCTAATCCCTTGAGTAGTATTTTACATCTTTTTTACCCTTCCATTAGTTAGAATAGGTTATTTAAAATTCTAAGTGAAGAGGTTAGCTGAGTGGTTTCACGCGTGCTTGTTATTCATCTAAACCTAGTTTCAAAGCCTTTCAATTGTAAATTTCTACCAAACACATATCACAATTTGAGTGGATACAAAATAAAATAAATTAAATTAAAAATAATTTTTTATCACGTGGTAACACATGTTATTATTTAATTGGGAGATTACATTTATTAAATTGAATCAAATATGTAATTATACCAAGTTTTTTAATTGCCACATCACCTCCTCCGTAGAAATTATCAAAATACTCGAAGTCAACGGATCCCGACCTAACCCAACCTTATAGAGGTCGTTTTTTGTTGTTGAAATTTCAAGGATTGGGGCTGGACGGGTTATACACACACATATATTAATACTTTTTATTTTTATATTATTATAATATATTATTTAATTATTAAAAATATAAAAATTATTGTACAATATATTAATTTAATCATTTATAAATAATTATAAATATATATTATAAATATATTATTTAATAAAATTAATATATCATATTAGATTGAGTAGGGGTCGAGATTTTAGTTTATTTAGGTATATATTTTCGGGTCGGGGTTGGAGCGACCAAAAAATTGACTCTCTCCACCCACCCCATGCCCATCCCTACTCCTCCGTTAAAAGTTAACGGCTAGTGGTTTGATTGAAGCATTTAAATAGTTGGGTGGTCTGATTGATTAAATTGAAACATCGATGGTTAAAGTGAAAAGGGGTAATAATTGGTGGTCATCAGTGTTGTTTACCCTTAAAATAATAATGAAATAAAATTGTTAAATATTTAATGGTTTAATACAAAAATAAGTGTCTAAATTATACCCTAAAATACAATTTGGTGTCTAATTTTTTTCTTCTAAAAACAGGTGTCTAACGTTTTCTCCGCTACATTTTAATTATTTACCATTATTTTTAATTTTTTAATAAAAAAATATTATTTAAAAAATAAAACCCCTTTCCCTCATCATCCCTCTCCCTCCCGTTGCCCCACCTCTGACGACAAACGATCACCATTGGTCGAATTTTGTTCGGAACATGACAAGGAACACAAAGGTGGCGACTATGTAACGTTTGGACAGTTATAGAAGTCGAAATCTTAGAAAACTTAAACGAAAACCTAAAATCCGACGATACTTTGAGACATTTTCATGACGATCAACACAATTTCATTGTGAATGAGGACAAGGTTTTGGTCGCAATGGCGAGAAGATTCTGATGGTACAACGTTATTGCCACATATCGAAGGTGGTCGACCGACAATAGAAAATGTTAAATTTGGGATTTTTTGGTTTTTTAATTATAATATTAATTTTTTAAATAAAATAAATTTAAAATTTTATATACATGACATGTATCAAATAACAATTAAATTTAACAACTAATACGACCTATACACTTAAAATTGTAACATTAGAAATTTTAGGCACCAATTTTTAACAAAATTTTTTAAACACTAAAAATATGGAGATAAATTTAATCACTTATTTTTATATTAATCCTATTTCAATAAGAAAAAATAGACATCTGAATGAAAAGTAGCTGTAATTCGAACTTCTATTCTTGGATATCGTTGGATAAAAACACATGATCATGACAAACCATACCCTTTTTTTTTGTAACACAAACAAAAAAAAACCATACTTCTAATACACAATTTCAGTGAACGTTCGCATTGGCGCTGGTTAAATAGTATAATATATTAACAAAAGAGAAAATAATCTCAATGACCAAAAATACCTTATAATATATGATTTTAATCAATATTTTTTAAATTTGTCAAAATGACCAATTAAATCGCAATGCGATCGATAATTCACAACGCGATCTTCGATATCGCAAATCAGTTTCCAGATTCGCAACGCGAACATCGACTATAGCAATGCGAACTTCGACTATCGCAATGCGATTTTCCAAATTCGTTACGATAGTCTAAATTCGCGTTGCGATAATCCATGTTCGTTGCGATAATCGAAGTTCGCGTTGCAATTTATTCCAAATTCGTTGCGATTGTCCAAAAAAAATTGGTTAAAATCGTATATTATAAGACATTTTTTGTCACTGAGGTTTTTCTCTTAACAAATCATAATTACATAATAATTATTACAAAACGCAGGGGGGACAAATTAACAACTGAAATATAATTGAATGTAGATCAAATAAATTTAAACAAGCCTAAAACATTGATCAGATCACAAAAGGTCGTCCATCAGATTGTTAACTTGATCAAGACTGTGAGAAAGTAAAGATCGAATTATAATTAATTATTTCAACTATTCAAGATATTCAAACAACTGTGGGTTAGTATATTTCAAATCAAATTCGAACTAAAGTATTTTGATTAGAATAATATAATTCAAATTAACTCTTATAACTATTTAATTTACCATTTAAAAATTTAATCGATTACCTTTTCCCATATTTAGAATGCACAATCTCACGCGGTCCCAGCTTAAAAAGTACGAAAGAGTAGCACACCATTGATTCAAAACTCTCTGGATACATGAACAAAATCTTTGTCGGTTTGTTACTGAAGCTAAACCAATCAGTTCAGAACCAAAAAGGTAGAACGAAGTTCAGATATATATATATCATAGTCTTGTATTATTATGAAATAGGGTTTACCTCGAAAGTAGTCTGGTCTACTGGATTGAACTTTTAAAGCAGTCTTCGCTTGAGGTTTTATCACCTGCATAGATCTGCCACCCAACACTCAAGCTCTTTATGTTATTTAGAGGTAATCTTGGATTAAATCGTTCACTGAAAGTAGAGTTTCTATTTCAAATACCTCAAAGTTGAATGACATGGGTACTCTCACAGCTTCGTACATGTAATCTGGTGCCGTCCCGTGTGCCAAATACCTGAAATCAGCAACTTTCACATATTACTGGTCCTGCACCAACTGGAAAGAGTTTTGGTATTATACAGTAAAAGCTACCACAAAATCATCATTGCTTCACGTATAAGAATACAACCAGACAGATTTTCCATCAGAACCAATCTTGCAATGCCCATGGCAATGAACCTTATTCAGTTCTTCAGTCAATGCTTTCATTCGCAGCCCCTGGCAGTCCGTCAGGGTACAGTTTTTGTGGTCATATGGCATAAAAACAGTGCCTGAAATGGATTGATGCATATTGCAAATAAACAGGATTAATCCATCTTGACAAAATAATCCATGGAAAAGAAACACAAAAACTAATTCAAGATGCCACAAAACATCCAACTAAATCTGGAGTTAAGCTGCGATGAACCCATTTCGAGAAGCAAGCTCTCCCAGCGTTGTTTCTTTTTTTTTCAAAACCTTGCTGATGGTGATATCCAAAAGTTCACATTTATGTACAACTTAAGTAATGAACAAAAGTCGAGGCAATTCAGCATCACTTACCTCCGTCCCAGAGTGTACATTAACCCAAATGTGAGGATTAAATGATGTGGCAATATCTCGAATGATTTTGGTTTCAGGTTCGCTGAAAGGAGCAGTTCCAGGATACTCTTCGGCTGGATCATAGTCCTATATGATTGACGAAAGCTTTCAAATGGAAAACTTCACTATGTAAACAACGTTAATAAACATTTAAACATTAAACTGTAGCATAAAAAAACAA